CACAAATTGAGCAGGAATATGAGGGAGGGAGTTGAAATTAAAGTATTGTGATACCTCAATCTTACATTGGGAAAGTAATAGACTCAAATGGTATTATATATAGATTACGTTTCTATATTATTAATAATTAAAGTTTAAATACCAATGATATGTCAATTCAAAAAAAAAATTAGTTTTTTTAATAAAATCTTAAATTTAAATTTTATAAATAAAAAAATAAGTGTTAAAAAAATTCTTACTTTATAAAATCTAACTTAGTTTCACTTTAAATTAATCAAATTTAATGTGGTTTCTAAATATCATAAAATTTAGTATATATATATATATTTAAACTTTTAAAAACTATGTAAATCTTAATTTATATACTATTAATTCAACAATAAAATCTTAAAATCGGAATGTGATAGGAATTTTTCTTGTTTTTGAAAAATTCAAACTACTAGATTTATAGCTTATGTTGAGTCCAAACTCCAAAGATCAAAGACATATATATATGCATATATTTTGATATTAATTTATGGAAAAAGGGATGTACAGGATGATGTAAGGAAGCAAAGACCTGGAAGACTCTGGAAGAAACCATGTGTGAACGTAAGTATTTGTGACGGGCGGGTAACCACAATTCCAAGCAAACTAGCAGGAGTGGATTCACATTTTCACAGCACAAGTAACATCAGTGGAGCCTTCCCTTGTTCCCCCACAACCCCTTTTCACATGACATGGGAATTAAAGCCCATCCTTTTCCATCCTTTGATTTTTCCTCACCGGGTTTAAAAAATTGACAAGGAATTTGACCCTTGGAGCCTGCAGTCTTTTTTAGGACACAGCAAATTATTTTAATCGTTATTTATTTATTTATTTATTTCAAGTTAATTTTTGTGCACTTTGAAATTAATTTATTTTTAAATATTTTTAAAGATATATTCTCATATTAGATTAGTACATTTAATGAAATTTCTTTAAGTATTAATTTTAATATTTAAACCATAAATTTAATATATAAAATAATATTTATTTATCAATAAAATTAACTTTTAAGTTATTTATTATTATTATTATTATTTTAATCTAATAGACAATATGATTGTGCAACTTTAAACTTTAGATTTGGAAAAAGAAAGCCTGATTAAATCCAAGCCTAACACCGTACCAGAAAGTTGGCATACATTTTGGGTGTAGCTAGGATGATAAGAAAAGAAAAGGGGAGGGCGGCTTCATCCTGAAAAAGGGTGATGATAATAGAGAGGCCATGGATCTTATATATTCTGCTTTTGGTTCTTGAATTATAAAAGCCTGCTCCGTTAATATTAAAAAACTAAAAGCGTCTTACACGATGCAGCTGCTCCATAAGTGAATATTGTTACATACTACAAAGCATTTAAATTGCAGCATCAACTTGTGGTGATGTACCTTTTTTGCCAACTGCATTATCGGTTTTGATTTCTTAAACAGTTTCTATAAACAGTTCTTGTGTTACAAGAGCGAGAATTTAACAAAATGCTATTGAAAGACTTTTCTCATCGCTTGCTTAAGGAGTGAGGGAGTGGCGATTAAAGCATTAACTGAGAGGATAGCATTATTAGTTGAGTTTGGTATTATGTAGTTGGAACTATAAATCACATATTATTAAGTGAAGGGTCTTTTTTTATAATATTAGAAACTCTTTTACAATTAATTAATAATTAATATTTTACAATTTATTATAGTTTGAACTACAAAAATACTTTCTTGTCATTAGTTTATTTTATTTAGTAGATTAGATTTGTTAAAGAAAGGACTTTCAATTCTTTTCTAGAGAAGATTTCTAAACAAACAAATTATTAACAAGATATAAAGAGCATAATGAATTGTTTGTCTAAATTAAAATTGGGTAAAGAGCACTTGAGGAACCAAATCAATAAAATCGATTAAGACCATGTTTTCCTGGGGCTACCAAACCTCTGACATTTCTCCTCCATTCATTATTTCTTCTCAAGTAGTTAGAAACTAGTACAATCCTGATAAAGGACACATGTAGCACAAAAACATGGTCCCAAATTATAATTGAGCTGATGGTATTTGTAACTATATATCTTGAAACTCCAAGGAATTGTCTTTCCTATTCATTATTCAACTTTCCCAAATCTTAAAATTCATTAATAATGTTTGTTCACAATAAATACTCACAACATAATGTGAAATTTGTGACAATTATTTTTATTAATTCCTTTTATTTTACAAAAGTCATAACTTAATATAGATATTTATTCATTTGATATCATATAACTATGCGTTTTGTTGTCAATAACCATACTCTCATCCTCCAACTGTGGAGCATCTACAAGATCTAACTTGGCCCATGATCATAAATACTTTGGGCTATAAATGGTAATTGGCCCAGATATATAATCTCATACGGGCGACCGCAACCCAACTTAGTACTCACACAGACCCCAATCAAAAAACCCAGTCCGACAAAATTGCCAGAATTTTTTTTTTTTTTTGAACAAGCAGAAAAAGATGCCAGAATTTTATTGAAATTGTTTATTAGCTTACAAACATAGAAGTGTTTTAAGGGTCATGAACATCATAAAGAAAAAAATCAACAGCAGTTTTTCAATGGTGCAACAATCCATGCTCGTGCTCTTGCGCTTGATGCCGGAGAACGGTGAACTTGCAAGCTTTTCAACAATGCCGGTTATGTCTCCTAAAATTCATCATCTTCATCCTGAAAACAAGAAGGGTTTTATTTGTTTTTCAAGGAAGCAGCATAAAGATGCAATGGGTGGAAAAAAATCTCTCAACAAAATAAGCTTTTAGGACCACCATAATCACTTCCCGTCCAAAATAAATTTCCATGGGTGTTGCTAGCTAAGACAGCAAAAGTACGAGGATTTTACAAAGATTCAACGTCAAATCTCCTTTTGCTCCTTCTTAGGATTGGATCAAATGTGAGAGAATTTAACTAGACCAAATCTATCTTCGTTGCCCAGAAAGGAGAACAGAACATGTACGAGGTGTTGTTAGAAATAAAGTCAGTGAAAAAGAGAGACAGATTTAAACAAAAACTCATGAAAGATGGTGGAAAGAGGGGTCAGTGCAAGAAATGGTGGCGGCAGGTATGTAACGAGAAGGAAGACAAGATGGACTGAATTTGTTTTGCAATGGAAAATGGGGTGTAAAGTGGGGGCATCATAGAATTACCACGCTTGAGCTATTTGGCCTTGGATGTCTCATTTGATATTAAGTTTAAAGATTTGTCGTGGTTCACGTCGAAAAGTTGTTTCTCAACCCTCTCTGTTTTGCCATTTTTCGTTTTAGATTCCAAAATGATGAAATAGTTGTCAAGGACTTTCGATGTTGCAAAACATTTTTTGAATTAAACCATTAAAAATGACATGAATAGAAATGGAAATAAATCTGGATATCAAATGCTCCAACAAATTGTTGGTAACAATCATTTTTTCATGTACATATGACTGTCAATTTCTTCATGCATGATGATATGTATGAATGCTCAAAGAGTGCTTCCAATCCTAAAGACCTATCGTCAAATTTACCAACTTTTCTTCAACACAGTAAGATCTACAATACCTAAAATACCTATAGTCCTCCCTCAAATTTTGTGTATGATATATGTAAAGCACCATCCCACAGATTTCAGCAATTTCAGGTTTCTCTTATTTTGGGACTTGCAACTTCCTCAATTTACCAACTTTTCTCCAACACAACAAGTTCTACAATACCTAACATATAGTGCCTTAAGTGAAGCTACCACTACAGAGACTCAATTGGGGGACCTTGTTTATTGTAAGTGAACTAGTGAATGAGAATGAGAATGATGTACTACCTACTACCTTTAATATCCAAAACATGAGCTCTTAACATATCCTCCAAATCATGAACCATGGCAAAGTGCAAATTAGCATGTCAGATTCTAAACAGAAAACTATCCCTAAAGTTCAACATATAAGCTCCCAACACACTAGGTCAACACACAAGATATCTACACGATGCCTACAGTGATGTGTTTGCTTTATTTGAAATCCATATCAAAACTCACCTAACTAGCAGTTTATGCAGTTCCAAACTGCTTCTATAATGCAAGATAATCTTGATATATCCTCCAAAGGTATAAATGTTATCTACTAATTCTCTTTTATCTACCTAGGGATGTGACTGATTGAACCAAAACATTCCATTCATCAAAAAAATAAAAACTACTAAAGAACCAAAACATTCCATTCATCAAAAAAATAAAAACTACTCAAGAACCAAAACATTCCATTCATCAAAAAAATAAAAACTACTAAAGAACCAAAACCTTCTAGATACTAGGCCTAGGAAATGAAAGTAACCTTTGGTTAGATCTGGTAGAACATAGGAACCTGCGACTCTAGATACACTCTAATCAACATTCTATTTAACCAGCACTAGCCTATTTGTGGAGGTTGATCGCTTCACTTCAATAAAAACTGGATTCAGATACAAATTCTCTAATCATAGGCTCTAACTTCTGCTGAACAGAAAGGAAATGACTAAAACTATCCAGAAAGTAATTGATTCAGACTGCCTTAACTTGCTAACACAACAAACATCCAACAAGAAAACCCCAAACCACTATCTTCATCCATTGTCTTAAGCTTCAATCCACCATCAGCAGTAACATAAATCCTCATGAACTATCCTTAGAGATGTTTAAACTGTTCCTTGTTGTTTCTACTTGGGTTATTTGCCTTGCAAAACCTCATGACTATCCTTCTCAATCTGTAAGTCCAGGCTCTACCTTGGTCCTCAGGCTTCAAGTTGAAGCTGTGATCTAAAGAATATTGGACCAAGGCTAATCAAAATGGCTTTATGGATACTCCCTGATCATATTTAACTAGTTAACTCTGCATTCTTATTATGCTGCCAATTTCCCATTTTATTTTGGAACAATTTTTTTTTTTTTTAACACTTTGGGGATAAAGTTTCACTAAAAATTGCAAAGCCTCTTTTAGCACGTGGGAAATTAACAAAGATGTAAGAAATATCCCCTTGAACCTCTAAAAGCTCTCATTCTACTCATCTGTTCAACGGAACTTCACATTTTTTATATATTAAGTGAGTCACAGTTGCAATCAAGCATCGTCTCTCATCAACTTTACCATAATACTCTGCTAGCCCTAGGGAACTCTGAATCCAAATTTCATTTTTCAATCTATCTTGATAAAATGTTGCCTTCAACCTCAATTGATGCACATACCATCCCAAGGTTTCACATGGACTAGAATCTAACATGCTATAATTCATATTTACTCTACATGGACTGTAACTACTCCATTGAAATGTAGTGTTACTAGTCTAATCTGCTCTAAACACACTTCTAGTGGATCTATGTGGAAGCACGTTTAGCATGACATGAGCATTTCATAACATCATGATGCATGATGAGATTGACAGAAATATGCACATACAAAAGCATAGTTGCAGAATCTAATATCCAAATCTATATACATTACTAAGTATATCAGTCCCATGGTCTAATTAAACAAGAGTTTTACAAACATAAAAAATAAATGACAAAAACTTCATTACTTGGAATCTTACAATTGGCTAAAAGGCCAAAAAAGAAGCAATGAGAAACAACTTTTGCATTTGAACAATGACAAATTTTAAAGCTTAAATCAAATGCGATTTAAACGCAAAAGCTCAAGCAAGAAATTCCATGATATCTCCACCTTATTTTCCTTTTCCACTACAACACAGACAGTCCACATTATCCTCCTAGTTCTCCTCCCATTACCAACACACAGTCACCATTTTGTGCACTGGACAAACCTCAAGTTCTCACCAGTCTCTCACTTGCTTCTGTTTTTTCTCTGCCACTCTTTCTCACCCCTTTATTTTTACATCTCTTTGCACATGCATTAC